TTTGCTTCAGATATTTAAAAAATATTAAGAACTAGTCCAGATATATAAAATGGTTTGTTAGAAGGATATAAGTATATATTTGATATAACTCCAAGTTATAAGAACATCCTACTAAGTTTTTAAATTCCCATTTTATATTTGGCACTTGATTTTTGTTTATGTCATGAGCTACGGGTCCAATTTTAATTTTTTTCCAAAGCAGTAACTACTTGAGCACCAGCATCTTCTCCACTGCTTCACATTGTCAATTTCCATGCAATGTGAGTCTTTCCTAGGCTCTCTTTTCTGTTCTATTCTTCTATTTGTTAGCCTCATGCCAAAACCATACCATCTTAATAATAATTACTTAAGCAGTGGTTCTCAACTGAGAGCAGTTTTGTTCCATGGAGGTCATTTGGCAATGTCTGGCAAAAGCTTTGCTTGCTGTGATTGGGGTAGGCATATGCTATTAGCATCTAGTAGGTAGAGGCCAGGGATGCTGCTAAAACATCCAAGATACAGGGCAGCCCCACAACAGACAATTATCTGGTCCAAAGTGTCAGTAGTGCTAGGTGCAGGACCCTGTTTTATATTAAGTCTTGATATATGTGGTAGAGCGATTCCTGCTTGCCCCTACACACACTTTATAACATTCTTTTTTCTTCAGAGTTGCCTTTGCTGTTTTTGTATGAATTTGTCCCTCTGAATTTTAAAGTTAGATTTCCAACTTCTATGAAAACCCTGTCCAGAGTTTGATTGGAATTGCATTGTTTCTAGACTGAGTGAGAACTGGTGGCTAAGTAGGATTGGGATTTTCTGTGGTGCACACGGTGATCTCATCATTTATTTCCTAAGTGGTGGAGAGAATTGCCTCTGACCCTGTCTGGGACCAGTGACTTCTCTGTGAGAAGAACTACCTGTTCATTTTCTCTGACCATTATAGTGACTTCCTATATCTTGTTAATTTTAGCAAATTTTCCATGGATTTTGCCCAGCTTGTCTTTAGTTTTCAAATATACTAGCATAATGTCCAGAGTTCTTTTTTTAGCCTTTGCCATATTTGGGGTTAGGTTTGCTTTTGCATTCCTCACATTGTTAATTTGGGACTTTTACTGCTTTTTTATGAATCTTAAGTTATTCATTTTTAAGTGTTTTCAATTAAGAGTCAACTTTTTGTTTTATTCTTCTTCCTTTCTACTGTGTCTTTCATTTCTGGGATTTTCTAATTTAATTTTGTTTGGTCTAATTTAAATTGAATGTTTAGACTCAATTTTTAGACTTCTCTTAATAAGATATTCAAAGCTATGAATTTTTCACTAGGGTATCACTTTAACATTATTCTACAAGTTTTGATAGGTAATGGTTTCTGGGTATTTATAATTTTCCTTTAAGGTTTCTTATTTGACTTATGGACTGTTTAGAAGTTTGTTTTAAAGTAATGTGTGGTTTTCCTAGTTACTTTTTATTACTGATTTCTAATTAAATTTCAATTGTGGCTAGAGAATGGGTTTTTGATATATACATGTTTTATTCATGACTTACTTTATGGCCCATTACAGAGAACTTTTCTACATGTTCCATGTGCACTTGAGAACAAAATTCTAAATGATAGGCATGGTTTCTTTATGGGTTCCATTTCATCAAGTGGGTTGCTTCATTATCAATTTTCAAAGAGGTATATTTAACCCTCCTATACCCCACCCCATGACTATTGATGTTACACTTTGTCATTCTAGCCATTTTTATAGTCACACAGAAATTTTTAAATATCTACCTGGAGAAGTAAACCTTCAAAAAATCTTTGAGTATAACTCTTTAGCCCAATATTGCTTTTGTTTCCTCTTATATCTATTTTGTTTGATATTAATATAGCTATACCAGCTTTCTTCTTAAAGTTGTTTGCCCACTTTCCACTTTTAAAAAAAATGTTACTGTTCATGTGTCTGTGTTTTAGGAGTGTCTCCTATAAACAGAATATAGCTAGATTTTATTTACTAGCAATTCAGTTTTTTAATCTGTTAACTGGCAAATTTGGTTCATTTACATTTATTGTGATTACTGACATACCTGACTTCATTACCACCTTATGTGGCGCTTTCTATTTTCCTATGATTTTTAGTCCACTTTTTCCCTCTCCTTTGTTTTAAAAGTACACTCTTGCCCTTAAGAGGTGAGCACAGACAGAAAAGAAGGGAGCCTCTACCCCTTTCAAAACTGAAGTCAAAGCAAGGCCAAAAGCCAGAATGCCATGCTGATGGCCTCCATAGCCCACAACAAAACTTGCATGTCACTAATTTTCTAGCAGCCCAACACCCACAGAAGGCCCCCAAGAACAAGTCTGACGACTGTGTCATCAAGTTCCCCCTGACCAGTCAGCCTTGAAGAAGCTCCAAGATAACACTGCACCCGTGTCCCTTGGATCCATCGGGCTGTGGATGTGAAGCAGCTCTGTGGCAAGGTCCATGCCCTGATCAGGTCTGATGCAGAGAAGGCGGACTTCTGACTATGTTGCTTCGGATAGTGCCACTTCAGGGGGATCATGTAAACTATAATAAGCTTTCCCCCAGCTAAAAGTAGAATTTACATACTATTTACCCTTCCTTTTAGTGCTGAACTTTGATTTTGTGGTGACTAAAGACAATCAGATTCTCCCCTTCCTACCAAATAAAACAAGGGTCTTACACTGCTTCAACTCTCATCACAGCCTTCCTCTCCTATCAAAATTGCGCAGTCCTTTAATTCTGCCAGAGTAAATCCCCCAAATTGGACACTAATATGAGTTTATTCAAGGTTTTGTATTAACTCACAAACTTACGAGACTTTTCACTGTTTAACATTTCTTGCATCTCAGACCTTCCTTCTGGGATTCGTCACCATCTTCCTGAGAGCAGGCTCATGGCCAGTGTTTCTGTCTGACAGTGCTTGTCATCTTATACTTGATCTTAAGTGCTCTTTAATGATATAGAAGTGACATTTATCTTACCTCTCATTTTACTCTCCCATCTTCTGCTTTTTATTGTTGAGAGGCTGTCAGTCTATTTATCGTCTTTCCTCATCTGCCCGTCACCTTTTGTTCTGTCATTTTCACTACAATTGATGTAGGGTCAGGTTTTCTTTTATCTGTGTTGCTGGGAATATATTTTGGTTCCTAAATCTGGGACCTCAGATATTTCAGCAAGTCTGGGAAACAGCCTTTGAATATGGCTGCTCCCCACATTCTCTCATTAGAACTGTGTAAACGTTTCCGTTTTCCATCACTTTTAAGCTCTTTCTTAGTTCCCATCTTTTCCTTTGTGTGTAATGGGGAATTCATTCAGTCTCCTAGTTTACTGATTTTCTTTTTGGCTCTGATTAATAATCTTCAATGTTAACTTGTGCCCAGAGTTTTAAATTTCAATTAGATTTTTCCTATCTGGAAGTTATTTGGCTCTTTCTCAAGTGCCTACGCTCTAATTTTTATACCTTGTTCATTTTTTTATATCTTTTATTTGATTAAAAATGCTTAGTCATTTAAAATTATTGGGAAAGTGTTAATACTGAGCTTGTTTCTGACTTATTTCCATGTGTGTGCTGTAAGTTTGGCATTGGATTAGAATGGACTTTTGTTTTTCTATGCCTTTGAGATGCAAGGTTACGCGTATGTCCATCCAGAAATAACGTGTATTCTCATCTGCCAGGCCCCATCATGCCTGGGGTGACTTAACAGGCTGTACTTTTCTGGACCACAGAGGTGGTTTAAATATGAACTCCAGACCCAGGAGGCACCTCTTACCTGATACCCTGCTGAGTCAGACTCTTTATAGTCTAGCTTCTTTTTGCTGGTGGGATGATTTTATTTTTTTTAGTCTGTATTTTCACTGCAGGGGCTCATGGTTCCATCTCCCCAGCTTGCCAATGCCCTAACATTGTCTGCTGCTAAGGTTGAAGAGTAGAGAAATGTCACAAGGGCAGTAAAAACTTCAACTGCAATGATAACAGAGTTTGGGGGCAACTGCAGGCAGCAGCTCGCGTGAATTGCGCGTACTCCGCGGGAGCCGTCTTTAACTCGGTTCATATAGATTTGCGGTGGAGTGCGGGAAACGTGTAAACTCGGGCCGATTGTAACTGCGTATTACCAAATATTTGTTTGTAATCCACCCTTTTGGTGGATGGAACAAAACCAAAAGACAGAGCCATCTTATATTTTGGCGGGAAATTCACCCGCACTCCAAGTGATAACAGAGTTTGGGGGCAACTGCAGGCAGCAGCAGAGGTGTGTGTGGCGGGGAGCTTGCTAATCACCTCATGCTGCTGCAGGAATGCCCGCCTCCTTCAGACAGCACCCTTCTCCCAGCAGCCAGGAACTGCTTAATGCAGAAGTGGGTCTGTCTGAGCGCCTGTAAAGGGCTGGGGGTGAACAGGAAACCTGCTAGGAAACCAGTGTTAATCTCGGATAGATTTCAAGTATTAAATTGGGATGCAGCATCCTATATAATAAAGAGGTAATATGCAAATTGACCATCACGCCCTCACACAAGATGGCAGCCAAGGGAGGGCAGTGGTGGGCGATCAGGCCGGCAGGGGAGGGCAGTTGGGAGCGATCAGGCCAGCAGGGGAGCAGTTAGGCATCGATCAGGCTGGCAGGGGAGTGGTTAGGGGTGATCAGGCTGGCAGGTAGAAGCGGTTAGGGGCAATCAGGCAGGCAAGCGGTTGAGAGCCAGCAGTCCCAGATTGTGAGAGGGATGTCCCACAGGGATCGGGCCTAAACCGGCAGTTGGACATCCCCCGAGGGGTCCCAGATTAGAGAGGGTGCAGGCTGGGCTGAGGGACAATCCTCCCCCCCCCCCCGCAGTGCACGAATTTTGTGCACCAGTCCTCTAGTTTAATATATTGCTCCCAATTGTATTTTTTAAAGTTTGGAGTAGCAGGAGATATTTTATACCTAGAAAATACAGTGCAGTTAGCCTAATGAATTGAAGTTCGCTTTTAAAAGTATTGTTGAAGAGAAAGTGTCAATTCTTCTGGTGCCACTCTATTTCCAGAGCCCATGGGGAGCATGTCATCCATGGAGGTGAATGTCGACATGCTGGAGCAGATGGACCTGATGGACATGAATGACCAGGAGGCCCTGGATGTTTTTTTGAATTCAGAAGATAATGCCGTGCTGTCCCCCGTCTTAGGTAGGAGGTGTCAGACCTGCATAAAACCTCTTCACATTATCCCTTCAGAGGGCAGACATCAGGGTAATGATGCACAGGTCTCTAAGCCGCAGTCAACTGCTTGTTCTCACCCATTTCCACTCGCCTGTGCCTGGTCTCACAGTAGTGGGCAAATGAGACAGCTGTTCCATCACGAATTTCTCAAAGACTTCTAGTGCTCTACCCACACACCATCTAAGAACAGGGCACTTTCTTAATTCCTGTTTTACCTCCTCTGTCTCAGAATTTGAGTTTAGTTTTTGTGGTTATTTCAAAGACTGGAATTTGGGGGAAGGTGGGAGATCGCCTGTGACTCACACACCTGGTGCTGGTCTGAGCATGCATTTGTCATCTTTAACTCTCATTCAGCTATTTATTTCACTTTTGTTGTGGGCAAGGCCAAGGTATGTGTTCAGCATTTGGCTTATATTTTTAAAAACCGGAGCAACCCTGTGGGGACTTGCACTTCATGCCTTCCCAAACTTTCACATTTATTCAGCAAATATTACTGAGGTTCCCAACCTATACATGGGCTCACTTCATTTTAAATTTCAGATCAGACCTTCGGGGATCTTCTTATACACAGAATCATTACAGAGCAAGCATTGCTGTTGTCTCATATACACACAGGGAAAGGCAAAGCGCAGGCCTCCTGTGGCACCTGGGCCCTCGACAGTTTCGCCGGCACCAGTTCCCACTGCCTCTGAGGTCAAGCCCTTTAGAGTTCTTGCCAGTTTGTTGTTTTCAACTTCTCCGTCCTCTTTTCCCAGCAAATCTGTGAGAACAGAGTCGTCCCCAGGAGGGCAGCCCTATGCTGAGAGGCTGGGACACTGGACGTGGGAAGGAATGCTGGCCTCTTTCCCAGAGTCAAGAAGACATTTAGAAACAGGGACTCCATCATCTGCATATGCTTTGGTTCCTTTAAGAACTTATTGACTCCCCATGAAATTGGAGAAATGCGAAAAAGATTGAGTTTTTCTCTTAGCATTACTTTCTCTGAATTACTACTTGCAAAGATATAAAGAGTAAATCTAGGTTATCATGGTTATGGGGATGCTCCTCAAAGAAATGCAGGGAGCGCCCTAGGGCCTTCATCACAGTATTTCCCTGGACATGGTGGGAAGGGCTCAGGGTCTTCCCATCTGTCACGGGGCAGAAGGATCGGTGCAGGCCCCTGGATGCCTCGCTGATCACCTGGCTTAGCCTCTTCCAGGGACAGTTCCTGCACTGGCGTGGGAGTCTCCTTGGTAGCCCCAGCTCACCACTACAAAACACTGACACCTTTTTCAATAGCATGAGTTCAGACCACCATCTTCAGTAGCAGTTTTAAACTGTGATACTTTTATCACAGGGTTCTTCCTATTTTGCAGGGCCTGAATCAAATACTGGTCAGAATGAAATTACTCTCCCGGTTCCAAATCTCCCGGAATTACGAGCCCAGCCACCTTCTTTATCTTCCACCTGCACTGACCCAGCCACCCAGGACTCCAGTGAAGGTGGGGAGTCCCCCGTCGTTCAGTCTGATGAGGAGGGAGTTGAAGTGGACACTGCCCTGGCCACTTTACACAGCGACGACAGCGACTCCTAAACCCGCATGGCACCCCGAGCACCGCTGAGAAGACCCGGCTGTGCAGAATCCCACTGAAGGCAGGCGGTTGACAGGGGCTCTTGATTGTCACACAATTGCCAGTAATTTCTGAGAAACTGACTGAAAGAAAAGCTAACAATAAAGTTTGAGGACTTTAACTGAGGGAGTCCATGGCCAATTTGTACAGAAAGGCTTCCACACACATGCATCCTTCAGGCTTTAGGGGGCAGGAAGGGCAACTGGGGTCCACGCAGGCCACCAAGGAGCCCGCAGGGCTGGCGGGGCTGGGAAATGTGGTCTCCACGTGGCCTCAGCAAGGAAAGGACCTTCACAGACAGAAAACCCTGCTTCCTCCAAAACCTAACTGCAGTTAAACTCCGCGCTAACAAAAGTGGGTTTTTGTCACAAAATTAACAGTTCAACAGCTAACCTGCGTTAACAGCAGAGCACACACCTGGGTCCACAGGAAAACAAACCAAGCAGTCTGCCGTTCTGACTCCTGACAAGGATGGGGTTTCCTGCCTGCATTCCTCACAGCCCGGCACCTGGCGAGGCGCCTCGCCCGCCCTCAGGATGAGGGAAGCCTCGCACCAGCCCCGGGCGGCCCAGCCCTGTCCTTGCTGCTGCCAGTGGCCTCCGCAGGAAACAAGAGGCAAGCAGCAGGCACTGGGTTTTGCTCGAAGGGGATTCAAACCATCAGCAGTAGAAGGTGAGCCGAGTCAGGCTGTGTTGGCTGCCACTCTGCTGAGGGAGGACTCTTGCCCTCCACCCGTTTACCGGAAAAGAAAGCTCATTTCATTCACTCATCTTCCACAAGACAAATGTCAAAAAAACTTTGTTTTTATTATTAAACCTTGTAGTACAAACCTGAAAAGTAAACAAAAAACTGGCAATAAACAACATGAAGTCTTCCCTCCCAAGGGAGGAGTGCAGAGCAGCGCTAATAAATTAAATGTCAAACTGTAAGCCATAGGCAGAAGTTTACTGTCAAAAAGAGGGAAAGTACACAGCAAGGCCATAAAAACCGGACAACCACATTGGAAAACACTTGACTCCGTTTATGTAACTGTTAAATATTCCAAAACAGTTCAGTCTCTGCAACAACAACCAACAAAGTGGATCACAGGACGTTCCTGACAGTCCCACTGGCAAGCTCAGTGCAGTATGGGTAGCTACGGGATCGATGAATCCAATTATGAAACAAAGAACAGCTTGTGAAAACAGTTTCCCTTCTTTATTCCACACATACTGTACACACAACTGGAGAAGGGCAACAGCTACTCCATTATTATTTTTGTGTTGTTGTTCAGTGATGTAAGCAGCACTTATAAATGTTACAAGAAAAACCCTGTAAGCATCCAATCCAACCGATGAAGAAACTGAAATGTAAGGCTTTTCTTCATCTTGTCTTCTCACCCCCCTCCCCACGCCCACTGAGAAAAAGGCTCAAGTATTTAAAACAATTTACAGGCATATGTACAAAAGGATGGGATTCTTTTTTTTTTCTTTTTGTTACAACATGAAGAGAAAAATAGACAAGATGAGCACAAATGCATTTTCACATTCAAAAAGAACTGCAGACCTCCTAGTGGCTCTAAGTATGATCCTAAACGAAACAAATTTAACAAGAAGATTAATGCTGACTTGTGAGGTGTGAAACAAGCAGTGAGATGAGATGGAATGTTAGAAAGATTGCACGTCTATGACAAAGAAGCACTTACGGCTTCAATCACTTTTTTTTCTTTTTCTTCCCTTAAGGATGCTATTGAAGGGTTTTTTGATAAAGTAGCCAACAGCACCAAAAAAATAACAGAATGGATTTCCTAATGAAATCAGGCACAGGTTTCCACACGGGACCCCTCCGAGACAGGCAGTCTTTTTCTTCTCTCTCTTCTTTTTTCCTTAGATGCATAGTGATGTGCTGGTAAGGAGAACCTCGTCACTCAAATCTCCTCATTTTGTCTATGGTTAGGAAACAATGTCCGCCTTCAGCTGCCACAACCGCCCAGAGAAACAAAATGGGGTTCTCCGATTTTAAAAGTTACAAACTCATCTTGCACATGACTGAAGAAAAGACAGCCAAAGTAAAGCCATTTCTTTTCAAGTTTCTTGTGTGTGTGTGTGTCCTACCCCTTTTCTCTCTAGAAAAATCTCACATGACTGAAAGTTTTAAAATTTGTTCTCCAAACTTCACCCTCTTCAAAAATGGGTTAAAAAAATCCTTTTTTCCCCAACAGTTACAAAAAAAAAAAAAATCAAACAAAAAGGCTTTTGTCAGCCACAGGGGCGATACAAATTAATACAGCCCCTCAAGGGTTTTAAAACAGTGAATATACGGCAGTTTCAAAAATCTGACTGCAGTATCTAGGTATTCTAAGTACAAAAAAAAAGTTCAAGAGTTTAATGCTAAAACAAAATTAGTTCTCTAAAACCAGAAGAAAATCTTCTTTAGAGCTAGTGCAAAGACAGCTTGTATCCTACAGCAAGTACTCCAAACTAGAATATAATAATTACAAAAAATAGATCTCAATCGGCCGCGGTGTGGGCAGCTTCAGGACGAGCTCGCTGCACTCCGGGAGGAGCTGGAGGACGCCAGCCGGGAGGGTGGCACGTCCACCGTTGCTCTCTTGCGGGGCCCCCTTTTTGGTGTCGGTTTACTGAGACAGTTCTCCATGCTGCCGTTCTTACCAGAGACCTTGCCACAGATCTGATTGACCAGGCTGATGATCTGTTCCTGTTAAGGGTTGGAAGGAAGACAAAGAATTAACAAACCAGAAGAGTGCTGCCCCCAGAACCACACCAGGACCTTTGAGCGTAGAGCGGGCAGCGTGGCAGAGCTGCCGGTCCTCCTCATCAGACCACATCAAATGCAGACTTCTGAGCGCTGCCCAAGGAGCGGGTTGCAGGAAAGTCGGGGCAGACTTTAGGCATCAAGCCGAGTCTGAGATGCAGCAGGCTAGAGAACGAGATAGGCCGAACAGTTCTGAGGATGCACCTAAAACATGCTTTCCGTCTTAGGGAGAACCCACTGCCACCTCACCTGACAGCCAGCACAGCACAGGCCAGGGTGCCTGTCACATCGCCTAACCTCCAGTTCCTGTCAGGGACCCAAGGGAGCCTGATAGCACCTCCTGGTGGCTGCAAGGTGTAGACAAACTAATATGCTAAAGCCTGAAATTCATGGTCCTATAACTACACAGTTTGCTACGTAATTGTTTCCTAAAAGCTGTATCCCAATCTGGGTCTACGCCTGGTCTTGAGGTACAGATTCCCTCACCACACAGCCAGACACACAGTCCTGAGACAAACACGGCCAAACACATCAGCAGCCCACGGGGACCTCTGTGAGTGACCCCTGCAGCCTCGGAGTTCAGAGGTTAGCCAGCTGCCACCGGGGCCCCACCTAGGAAGGGGAGGACTCAGTTCACCGCCTCCACAATGAGCATTAGGAGAAAAGACCCATGGGCTTGAGGCCTCAGGTCTTCTCCACGTGCTCCCTGGGTGGTGACACAGGCCTGAAGCTGCCGTTTCACTGGCTACCCTGACACTCCAGCCTAGTTCACCTGGTCTCGCAAATGAATCAAACACTTGTCTAGAAACATTTCCGTTGCTCCCTCCTCCCTCCCTCTGTGAAGGAGAGATGACAAACAAAACACGCATTCTTATAATTCACTCGAGATAACCAATTATCTGTTGGTATCAAAAATACATTTGTAACATAACTCATAATCATCCAATTTTAAAAGAAACCACACAAAAATATCAAAATGTCATGTAGCTCTGACATAACATTTATGACACCTGCTGGGCCAGGGAGGGAGGGACCCATGTGGCTCAGGGAGCACAGGTGGCCGCCCCTTTACTCACATAGAGGCCTGAGGGCCAGCCAGGTCCTGCCTGCCTCCGGCCTTCTGGAAACAGCGCCAGAAGGCTCCTCGTACAGAAATGAAAGGGTAAAAGGCAACGAGTGAGAAGTGTCTGAAAGGAGAGAGTTAAAGACGGCCTGGGAAGGGGCAGGGCTGAATATTTGTGAAATACAATCTCTGCCCATTTGGACACTTAGACATAAACATGTAACACATGATAAATAGATGAGCTGTAAAACCCAGTGACATGGGACTAAAGCCACCTCCACAGCACGAGGAAGCCCACACTTCGCCACGGCCCACGGCCTGGCCAGGGCTGTTTGCTGGGCTTCAACAAGAGCTTGTGGTGCTCTCAGAGCCGTTTCCAAAATCCAAACCAGGGCTAAAAATTCCACAACTAAACAGTTCAACTTCCCAATGGACTTGCAGAGTTCCATTTACTAAAATAAGCCAGGCCACTGGGAGCTCAGGCGGCTTCAGAGCACCACCAACCAAGCTTTAGACCAGTGATGGCGAACCTATGACACGCAAACTCATTTTTTTGGTTGATTTTTCTTTGTTAAATGGCATTTAAATATATAAAATAAATATCAAAAATATAAGTCTTTGTTTTACTATGGTTGCAAATATCAAACAATTTCTCTATGTGACACGGCACCAGAGTGAAGTTAGGGTTTTTCAAAACGCTGACACGCCGAGCTCAAAAGGTTCGCCATCACTGCTTTAGACCAACAGGCCCCACGTGTGTGATTCTTCTTCCAGGACCTCGGTCTCATCAAACCTCTCGCTACAAGACGGCTGGAGGTGGAAACACCGGCATTTTGGAGAGCTTCAGAATCACCATGGAGAAGCCCCACTGCTGCGGGCTGCACTCTGCCAGTTGTCAGACACCAGGGTTATTTTTAACTGTTGTAGAAGCCATTTGCTGTTAAAGTGATGGTGGAAGGGCAAAGTGGTTCCTGGCTTTGCCCAACATGCACTTAAAAAGCCAAGATGCCAAGATCTATTTTCAGCCTCCAGTCTTATAACCGAGCCAAAGACTTGCACCAAACCTGCCCCACAGCTGGGCTCCCTCAGAGGCCCCCTCGCCACAGAGGCCTGTTGGGCGCCCGGGTGTGTGATGGCTTCGTGCGGTCACCTTCCACTGGATTAACCTCCGGGGAGCCTAAGGGGAGCAGGAGGGAGGCTCCAGGCAGGGCCCACAGCTGCACAGGTTGTGCCCTGTACATGGCTTGTGGCCCTGACCACGCGGCAGAAGATGGTGGGCAAGGGCTGGGGGAAGGGCCCCCGGTGGCAGCGTGTGCAGCAGTGGGCCGGCCAGGATGGGGGACAGGTCCCCATGGCAATCTGAGAGGGATCCTCAAGAAGGGCTCTGGGCCAGTCAGAAGTGAAAGGTGCCCTCTGAGGGGCAGGGCCGTGTGTTGCAGGAAGCATTTATGAGAAACTGCTGAAGGGGTGACAGCAGACAGAGGGACCCACGTGCTCGCTGCATTGGAGCCGAGAGCCTGGGAGCAGGGCTTTTCCTGCAGCCCCTCAGCTGAAGGAAGTGCACTCACCCACGGGAGTCGAATGGACTGTACATACCAACCAGCTGGCACAGGAAGGGCCCCATATGGAGCGTCTCTGAGGCCGAGTGGGGGTCTCAGTGAAGACACGCCTGGGGCACAGGAACCAGGGAGGGACAGGGAGTCCCACCCCGGCTCCTTCACTGCCGGCACAAGCACTGGCAGCCTTGGGAATTGGCTGGACCTAGGATTTACTTGGAAGGTGGAACCAACAGGACTTACAGAAATAGATGCACAGTGAGAGAGAAAGGCCCTCTCCCCATGTTAGCTGAGGCCCGTGGCTGAGGGCAAAGAGCCTGGTCCCTGCCGGATGCAATTCTCTGCCAGGCACGGAGCCTGGGGAGCTCTGAGAGCTGCCCCGGCATCATGTGCCACCACCTGCTGCCCGCTGTGTGCTCTGACCTGAGGTTAGGTGCCTGCTGCCAAAGCACCGTGATGCAGCCACAGCCGCCCCTGCCCCCGCTGGCAGCGCTGCCAGGGTATAATGGTCAGTGATGTGGGGTATCACAACCAAGCATGGGGGAGGCGGGGGGCGGGGGGGCTCTAAGTGAGAACGAAAGCCTTCTCCTCACCACCAGAGCCCCAGAGCAGAAATCCCTTCCAGGCCCTGCCAGCTGCACGGTCCAGGAAGGGCCACCAACCCAGACTCAGCGCACGGGCCACGGCCAGGAGGGCTCCTCTGCCCTGGCCCCGAGACCCTGAGTCGGGCTTCTCTCAGAACTCGGCCACAGGCTTGGTTCTGAGGCCCTGCCAGCAGCCACAGCTGGGATATCCCCGGTCCAGGCGGCTCAGGGTCTGGAAGGAGGAAGGAAAGGCCCTCCCCCTGCCATCAGCGCTGGAACAGGTGCTCAGTTGGGGTCTGTCCTGTGATGGATGGGCACAGGCAGCCAGTGCGGCACAGGGGACAGCAGCACCAGATCTTGAAACCACGTCCCTTATAAATGGAGGGAGGCCTGGGGCCAGGAATGCTGACTGAGATGCTGCCAGGGCTCGATGGGGAGGGAGAGCTGCGGCCCTGCATGGGGAGGTGTGCACAGGCCCACGTACAAAGCTACGAGCGACATGGAGGAGAAAACTGGAATGAAACCACGTTTGGGAAAGAGAAATTTTGTTTCAGTTCCTGGGTTTCTCCAGGTCAGACAACCTCACAATCCCCCATCTTGGGACAGAGTTACTTTCCCACAGGCTGGTCTCTGTCCAGCCACGAGCACCAGAAAGAATCATGGGGGATGCACCTGGTCTCGGGCCTTGCCCAACTGGCTCAAGTTGGGTGCTGAGAGGCCTGCTCGTCCCTACAGTAAATGAAGGCAGGCGACACAACGGCCATCCCCTGCAGGGCCCCTGCTGGCTGCTCGCGGAGGCCCTCATGTGGCGACACTGACCTCATCATAGCGGTACATCAGCTTCAGCCCTCGGCACGACTTCTGCTTCTCCACGTGGCGCAGGGCACACTCCAGGCAGAACACCACGTTCTCGTTCTCCTGAACCACCTGCAAGGAAGACGCTCCTGAGGTGCTGACGGGGATCGTGGCACTGCTGCCGGGACGTGCCCGGGAGGGACGGGAAGGGAGAGGCCCCAGGAACCAGGGACGGCCTGTCCGGACATCTGCTGTCCACGCTAAGGAGTGTGCATCTCTCACAGGAAGTTAACGGGGGAAATCACCTGCAGCACGGTCTCCAACAACGCTGTGGAAACGGGTAACGGACTGTCTCCGAGTTGCACCTAAGGTGCCTCGAGTTCCCCCGATTCCTGCTGCACTTGCCTGAGAGGTTCTAGGTGCCGTTAGGCGGGGAAGATGGGATAAAGTACCGATGGTTGTTTAGAAGCTCGCACATTCTGAGACCTTTTTGTTCAAAACTACCCTGGCAGGCACAGCGGTGCCAGCTCGGGGGGAGCAGGCCCAGGACATCCCTGCAGCTCCATCAGTCCAGCTGGGAACGTGGGAGCTGTCCTGCCCCCCAGCCCCTGGCCAGACGCCAACCAGCACAGTCTTGATCCTCTGCCACCCAGACAGGCCCCTCCTGCCACACCCACAAGAGCCTCCAGCGGCCGTGTGAGAGCACACGCCAGACCCCACGGCCACATGGAGCACGTGCGGCAGCATGTGGACAGGCGTGACCCACCACAGACAGCACGGGTGACCTGGACCGTGGGGCAAGGAGAAAGGACAGCTGCCTGGTTTGTGGGGGTTCCCACCCCCCACTCCAACTTCTAGTCCTGTTCTCATTCTGTGTTTAAAATTAAAAGGCAATGCTGCCTTAAGCCACAAGATGCAAGAGGTCCCGGCCCTTTCATAAAGATGTAGACCGGAGGCTCCTGTCTCCAGTGCTTCTGGGCAAAGGCGAGAACACAAGCTGGAGGAGCAAAGAGGTGACGCTGGCAGAGACGCATCACCTTTAAAGACATGGCTAGCGGTAGGGACGGACAAAAATGCCGTTACTAGGTGTCCAAGCAATGAAAACTGTAAATACAAGTAAAACCTCAGTTTTTACCTATGAATTTAGAACACATGCTTTATAACATTCAGGCTGATAAATGCCTGGTGACAACTCTCAAGGTACAGGCTTCTGAAGGTGTGCAAATGAGCCCCCGGGAGCGGACCAGTGCCACACAGAGTCCGGAGTGTCGCTCACGCTCACGGGAGTAAGGCAGCTATTATTCCCATGGGAACAATGACACCAGAGCGAGAGGAATGAACACAGACCTCGAGGACTCTGTGAGTGACCTTCACAAATGTGGGCACAGACAGACTAGACAGAAGACATGTGGTTGTTATGCACTGAATTATATCCACCCAATTCACAGGCTGCCGTCTTGACCGCAGTAGCTTAGAATGTGATGATTTGTAGACGGGCCTGGAAAGAGGTGATTAAGGTAAAATGAGGTTTTAAGTGTGGGGTCCAGTCCAATATGACGTATGTTCTTACAAGAAGAAATTAGGACACAGATATGCAGAGGGAAGACCAGGGGAGGAACTGGGAGAAGGGGGCACCTACAAGCCAAGGAAGAGAGAGGCCTTAGAAGGAACCAACCCTGCTGACACCTGGGTCTCGGACTCCCAGCCTCTGCCATGGTGCTGAAATAAGTGTCTTTGTTGGAGCCCCCAGTCTGTGGAATTTGCCACAGGAGCCCCAGCAAACTAATACAGCAGTTTCTCTCCTTCTTTCAGAGTTCTGACCTCCCTGATGTTACAAAGAGCATATGATTCAACTGGGACTGGCTGTGTGGCCCATCTCTTCTGCGGGGCAGCTGGGTGGGAGCCAGGCACATGGGTGAGCAATGCAGTCAGACCTGACACACTTGCTGCTCTGCATCTAGGCACGTGGGCCTCATGTGAGGGCGTTGGTGCCATGCTGGCAGGGGGTGAGCACTTACTTTCTAAGCTCCTCTTTCTGGAGGAAGAATGCACACAGGAGGGGAGAGGGCACCAGCACTGGAGGCCACGAGTGCCAGGCTGAGGTGTGTGGTGGGGAGCACCTGGAGTGGGAGTTGGGGCACCCACATACCTGTGTCAGGGCAGCTGCCCAGTGGGAAGGGAGAGATGAGCTACCCCAGCCCAGCTGTCCACTAAGCCAAGTTCTGCCAGGCCCCTCTGGCCTGGGATGGGCGGGTAACCCAGCCACACCATCACAGGTGAGGCTGAGGCGGAGCAGCCCCAAGCTCTCAGACACTGAGGGAACAAACCCGAAAGAATGGAAGGGAGACGGGGGCTGCGCTGGCAGACGGAGGGGCAGGAGGAAGAGCTGGCTCAGAGGCAACTCTGATCAGAGGCGGGGAGGCTGGGGATGGGAGAGTGTTGCTGAAGAGAAACATTCGTTTTAACCAAAGACAGATTTCAGAGTCCTGAGGACAATGAGACAAGTCACGGAGGTGAATGGAAACTGGGGAAAAGCCAAGGTTAGATGAGGTCCTACGTCAACTTTGGCAGCAGCGTGGGGGCAGCTCAGCCCCTCACCAGGGGACACCAAGGGAAGCCTGGGGAGGGGGTGACAGGGCAGGGTGTGAGGGAGGCCCTCTTCCCGCAGACATGAAGCCACACATGCAGAGAGACCCTGTGGAGGAGGACGGGCAGAGCAGAGCCCACCCGCCCTCGGTCCCTCTGACCTGGTTGCTGAGGATGAGGCGCTGACCCCTAGAGGTCGGGACCCTGGCCCAGGGGGGCAGGAGGTCCAAGGGCGGGCCTCTTGACAGGCTTCCTGCAGCGGGAAGCCCCTCTGTGGGCAGGCACAGCGCGCATGCACAGGCGGGAGTCGGCCGGGTCCCAGGCAGGGGCCCGCAGGCTCACCATGGACAGGTAGCACAAATGTTGGCAGATCTGACACCTCCTCTCTGAGGTCTCCAACTGCAGCCACTTTCGAGGCTTTTTCTTCCCGTCCACCACAGTGCTGCTGCTGTCGTGGCTGCCGTAGCGGGCAGAGGAGTGGAGGCCGGCCTCGAACAGCTGCCTCCGCTGCCGCAGCTCCGTATCCCTGTCCAAACACAACACAAGCACCGGGCCCTCAGGAGGCTGAGCACTGCGCCTGGCCGTCCCTCCCCTTCAAAGGGAGCATGCTGCGCCCCAGGCAACTGCCCCCTCCCCCGTCCGGGTGCACCCTCCTGTCGGAGGAGGGCGGTGAGAAGTACATGCTCACCTTCCCAAGGCCCCCAAATGAGGACCCGTGTTCTTCAGTCAGAAGGTCAGACAACCCCCCAGCTTCCAAGGCTACTCTGACAACTGGGCTCTGCCTAACAGGAGCGCCACACACCAGGACACACATGGCAAACCCCTCACTGCTACCTAAGAGGGCCCTGCCCCTTCACTCCGAGCCAAGAACGGATGTAACAAACTATTTGCTGGTATTGTCATCAAAGGTTCGACCAACACGAGTCGAAATCCGTGTGCTGTCCGTCAGCACTACCGACCGAGTCTCTCCCCTGGGAGGGAGAGATCACGAAGCTACATGGTGGGAAAAGAGAAGAGGGTTACACAGGAAGCCAAGCAAAGGGTGGCACTTCTCCTCAGCTTCTGCCCTGATCCGCTTCAACCTTGGGAGAGCTCCTTCGATCGCTGCGGGACGGAAGCTGGGTGTGGGCCTCAACACGGGACAGGCCAGCCACACACAGGCGCTGGGGCCGATGCCAGCTGCGCAGTGGTGTCTCACACACGCATCCTGAGCAGGTTGGCAAGAAGACCGAGTGAGGCTCCGTGGGCCTCTCCACACCCACCCTAACCTCTAGAAAGGAGGCAGTGGCCACCATTTCCTCCCTGGCAACATGCTGCTAGGATCCGAGGTGCCCGGGCATCAGAGCCACCTCCTGGCAACGTGCTGCTAGGATCCGAGGTGCCCGGGCATCAGAGCCACCTCCTGGCCACTCCACAGAGGAATAACCTTTTGCATCAGCACCTCAGGAAATTCTGACTCCAAATAGCAAACATGAAAACAGAAGAGGAAATTTAAATTAAAGAGTAAATAAAAATATAAAAAAAACACACCCAAAAGGTTTCACCCATCTAGCCAAGCACCAGTGGGGCCTGGCGCCCCGGCCTCGACCCAGGGCAGGAACCGGGTCTGGTTACCTGAGCTCGTCCAGAAGGGCCGAGATGGTACTGAGAGTGGGGCCGTTCTCCTTTTTCGCTTCCGCCTGTGCAATCTGGTAGAGTAACTTCTCCATGGAAAACGGCTTCGCTATATGGCGGCGCTTCATTTCCTGCAAGAAGCGGTCACATCCCTTTAGGGTGGGCAGGCTTTTTCTTTACGGGGCAGAGGATGCAATCTCAATTTTAAAATTCTGAGTTCCACTGGACTTCAAAGCAGTGAAACTCGTACAACAATCCTGTTTGCCTGTGGGAAAGGCACCAGGGACCAGCAAACGCCATTGCTGCGCCACCAGCCACTGGGCAGGGGCCCCAACGTGACAACGGGGGGAGACTTTCCCCCACTGCCAATGTTTACCTGAAGTGCCGCCAGTCGGTCCCCCCAGCTTACAGTGCGCCCACAATGGGACTCAGAATCTCTCTTGATACAAATAAACACCTAACAGATCTTCTTTCCTAGGAAAACCTCTCTGACACCTCTTAGAAACATTTTCTAAAATTACGCCCATGTAAAAAGGGACGGGCAGCACAGGGACGTGGGCGTGTGTCTGCGCATGCGCATCGCCTGCCTACCTTGGCCGTCTCGAAGCCCATACTTGTCCACTGGGTGGTGGCAAAGTGCACGGTCTCAGAGACGCTGTAGCCGCAGCACACTTTAGACACAAAGGATCCTGGGAAGCAGACGACGAACTGGCCGCTCTGCTGCACGGTCCTGTGCACCTTGATGCCTTCTTTGCACAGCACCTCCGGGGAGATCTGGGGAGCAGGTCAGGGCTGAGACACACTCTGCAGGACGCACTCGTGGCCGCTCTCCCACCCCCACTGCCCCACCACTGCCCCGGCCTGCCCAGCAGGTGGTGACATGCACACCTGCCCTCCAGGCGGGGCCTCGGGAGTTAAGAAGGGGCCTCTTCATGAGGAGACAGATCAGATTTGGTATTGGAGATTGTTTGTTTCTCATTTAAAAAGTAAAGATGCCAACCTGATTAGAAGAAAGATCTAAACTGAAACTGGACCAAGAGTGACAACAGAGCCACCCAGATGTGCGGCCACTATGAGAACACAGCCCTACAGCCACATCAGAGCCTTTCCCGTCCCCACCCAGCAGTGACAGGGGTGGGAATGGGAAAAATCCTCCATCTGCAGAGCCAGGCAGAGCCACAGAGGTACAGCCTGGGGACCTTCGAACCTGCACCCTAGAGGGGCTGCAGGCAGAGCCACAGAGGTACAGCCTGGGGACCTTCAAACCTGCACCCTAGAGGGGCCTGAGCTCAGGTGTCCGAACACGAGGCTAAAAGGACTCCCAGGAACTCAACAGCCTCGTGACTTCCTAAAAATGGGATCAGAAGCCTTTGTGCCCATCCCTGTGAGGTGGAGGGCTTCTGCTCTGTTGTCCAGTCATCCAGGTGCCCAGCAGGTGGGAATAGCAGTACCAACAGACCCCAGTGCCCACCCAAAAGCAGGACCCACCTCGCCACACACCCCAGTCTCCACACACAAAACCAGCCCTGCGACAGATTCAAAGGCGACAGCGCACGTGCCCCACGTCCTGTGCAATCTGAGGAAAGCACCTGTTTGGTGTCCATAGAAGAGGAAGGACATCTAGTTTGGATGATGCTGTGAGGATTCATTTTGCGTTGTCCTCTGTGCCTCTGAAAGGCAGGCCAGCCAAGAGGGTGACTGACAAACAGCCCTGCCTACCCCGTGCCCGGGCCGGTGCCAGCACAGGCAGGAGCTGCACATACCATGACGTTGCTCTCCAGCATCTGCAGCCCTGGGGTCCCGTTGGCTTGCAGCAGGGTGTGCACCACGTCCTCGAGCTTGCTCTCCTCCTCAGCAGGAATGCAATACCTGATGTTGGGAGACAAGGCAGAGACTTGACCAGGACCCTGCCTGGGGAGCCTGGGCTGGGCCCACCCTGCATCCTCCCTCGGATAAAGGAGCAAATGTGGGCCTGGGAAGCAGCCTCAGGTGCAGTAGAGAGACTGAAACTTGGAGGAGGGACTGAGTCCTGGGATCGGGGAGGTGCCTGGCTCGGTGACTGGCACCGTGGTTGTCAGGCCGCACCCACCCCACTCCCAGGCAACACTGCTGCTTCCGACCAGCATAGCACAGCATGCTCATCTTTTATGCAGATCTGACCTATACATGAGCCAAAAAACCTTCAAATCAAAAACAGATGTTTAAAACTCCTTATAAATCAGACCCAGGCACATCTGCAGACTCAATTAGCCTCCCGTGAGTGCGCCCAGGCTGCGTCTCATCCCCGGGCTGGCATTTGACACTGTTCTGTAACAGGAGGCGCTGCAGAACTAGGATTCGGTGCTGGAATACGCGGTTCCCTCGGCTCTCCAACCCGGGCCACCTTGTGAGAGCCTGGCCCAGCTCAAGCTCCTGGCCCCAGAGCCGTGGGCTAGGTGACCGGAAAGGCAGGACAACCCCCCAGTTCTCCAAACACAGAAAAAGTTGGGGGAAGGAGTCCTGGCTGTGCATATGCTGGCTCATGCCTGCGCACGGACCGACCGCGGCCGCTGTGAAATTATGGAATGAGAGGAGGGTGCACCGGGTCGCGGGCCTGCCCCACCGAGGCAGCTGGGCGTGCCAGAACCCAGCCAGCCAAGGATCAGCTGGCGAAACACACAGGAAATCAACCCACACAGGCCTGCGTCACGCAGACTGAGGGACGGTTGGGAGCCGAGCGGTGGAGGCAGCTGCAGGGTGAGGCTGGGGACAGCACAGACCCCAGAGCACAGCTACGGAGCGACAGCGAAGACGGTGGGGGAAGGGCGAGGATGCCGGCAGACCTGAGCTGACAGGGATGTCTGGAACCTTACTGCGGCCACGGAGAGTGGGGGAATTACTGCTGGTGTCCCCAGAAGGGGACACCTACCTGTGAAAATCCAGGGGCCAGGCAGTCGGCGTGCATAAGGCAGGTGTGCCAGGCCTCCTCCAGGCCCTCCCTTCTGTCTCCCGCGCCCATAGGGGTCGGCAGGCTGCAGTGGGACACCTGCTGAGTGGACCCTGGGCAAGGTGACCTCTCCGAGTACAGCCCACCCTCCATCCCCGAGTCTTGACGGGACCTGGGGCTGCAGAGCACAGGCAGCCACTGGCCCAGGGGCAGCCAGGTCAGGGGCAGCAGCTCTGGTGCAGTCGTGACACTGCCCAGCTCCGGTCACTCTGGGCAGCCGCCCGGCCCTCAGGCCCAGTTCCAACCTGGCACCTTCCCCCAGGCCCGCAGGCAGGCCTGCACTCGGCTGCGCTGAGGTGTCTGTGATGAAATCCTTCACTTGGAGGCCAAATCCTGTTTCAGCTGCCACATGGAGTGGTTTTTATTATGTTCATGTTATTTCAATGCCAACATATTCTGTTACCGATTTGATTTAAACCCAGGGTTTCTAACCAAAATCAGATGTTTTACAAAAAACCGCAACCCATGAAGTTCTCCGATCACATCCCACCTCCTCTTTATCCCTCAGTGACGGGCAGGGGTTCGTGTTCAGGAAGTCCACAGACTCCCATGTCCCTTCCTCTAACCCAACCTTCACCCGAGGGGCCGGCAGGGGTGCTGGCTCAGGTCGCAGGTCTGGGGGGACTCCCTGAACCCCACACCAGGCCTGCGCTGTCCACAGAAGCTTCTCCACGTAAATGACATGGAGGGCACAGGGGCTCCGGGAAAGGGCCACACCCTCTCCCAGTCGCCACCCTCGCCCTGGACAACACAGCTGCACGTACTCTGCCCAAAGCCTCCACAAGCCGGCAGCCACTCACAGACCAACCGCAGGCGCTGAGACCACCCTCCCTTGCACACAGGCTCCCAGGAGGCCCGCAGGCCCTGCTCACATCAACACCAACCACCACCTCCTACAGTGTGGCCGGGACGCAGGGGCACCATAATGAGGCCGCTGCAGACCTGGCTCCTCAGAGCACGGACGGTAGTGCTAAGGCTGTTTGTTTTCGTAAAGAAGCCTCATCACCCGTGAGGACAATAAGCAGTCAGCGCAGGATGAACGTGAGGCTGGTAGACTGTCAGACAACAAGACGTCTGATTATTTGCAGTAATTTCCCATCTGCCACCTAAATAAAGGAACCGAAGAGCCAGCCAGGGATCAGACCTGGGTGGAGGTGACAGGCTCCAGGTGGGCACCGAGCAGGCTGCTTCCCACAAAACAGACAGATGTGTCCAGGGGAGACAACATGTGTGCCTGACACAGCAAGAACTCCATTTCCCATAAGACCTGCTCTCCCCGCAGCCATTGGGGGGTTGGGAGGCTCTGCAGAGACACTCAAAACGATTGCTGACGAGGCCAGAGAGGGAACAGAAGGCATGCCTGACACCGCCCACCTGTCCCACTGTGATTCCCTTCCTGTTTCTCAGACCTAGTATGAAACAAACACTTGGAAACCAACAATAACAAGTCCTATCCTAGAAGAAAAATCAAATAGAAATAGGCAACTGACAAAAAATGGGAACATAAATGAGCATATGAAGTGATGCTTATCACCAGAGCAACTTAAAATATTCCCTGCCACTTGCAGCCCCTCCAACAGAGGCAGGAAATCCCAAGCTGGGAGCTCCGACAAGGAGCTGGGACACAGGAAAGCAGCTCTCGGAGGCTGTCCACGCCCCCCCCCCCGCACCCCCCCCACCAGGGCCAGCATACTCACCAAATGCAGTCAGCACCAGTGTGTAAGTAGTCGATGTAGGGAAGGTGGTTTTGGTCTCGAGACCAGCATGAGGTAGAAAAGACCATGCCAATATTTAGCCAGGGAATTGTCACTCCTAAAACATAAAGGGAGAAAGCAGCAACAACGTCTGAGTAACAGCTATCAGAATCACCATTTTATTCCCAAACAGGAGAAAGAAAGAAAGAAATGGGATTCAAAACCAGCCAGGCAAAGCCCAGTAAGAAGGACCTTGCTCTTCCTGCTTGCTGCACAGAAGCCAGGCTGAGATGGGCGCGCTACAAACAGCACTGGAAGGGCAGCTTACTCCACAAGTCGGGCAGCACGATGCCCCAGGGAACGTGACCATGATGACTGTTGGCAATAACCAGCAGCCATGGGCTGGGCCCCAAGGCTGAGAACGGGGACACCAGACCTGACTCGTGTCTGGAGAGGCCCTGAGCACTCGCCTCCACGGGGCGTGGAGGGTCCCAGCCTTCAGTGACCTGAGGCCCCAGGACACCTGGCTTTCCAAACAGGCGTAGAACCTCCCACGGAGGAGCCTGCACTCGTCCTGAGGGGGCAAGACTTCTGCTCTGAAAACACCAATTCAAGGTGAAAAGATGGCCACTAAGCACCTGCCAGCTCCTAGATGCTGTGATTTGGTCCACCTTTCTACATATTGACGGATTTCAATTATGACCCTATTTCTTTCTTTCCTGCAAATCAGTGTCTTGAATCTAAATACTCTCCACCGGAAGCCCCCGTCCCTTTCCAGCTCCAGCTCCCGATGGACGTGGGACTCACCAGGCACAGCACCGAGGTGGCGCAGGATGGACCCTGTGTTATTGGGGAGGACGGTGAGGTTCCATCCATGCCTGCAGAAGAAAGAGGGGCATCACAAGGCTGGCGAGAAGAACACCATCTAGTCCCCAAAATGCAGACAACAGGTCCAACTCTACCTTGAAAACGGTTCTGACTTCCCCACGGGGAACCCGCTGCCGTGCGTGTTGGTGTCCACCTTGCCGCAGTGCACCGCCACGTGGCAGTCCTTCTCCTCCACGAGCCTCCAGTACTCTTGCTGCAGGGAGAGCGAGGAGTCAGCACAGCTCACCCACCACACTGGACACGAGTGCACGAGGAAGGAGCATCACAGAACAGCCCCAAGAGAGCACGGAGTGGGACAGCGATGCTCGAATGACCTCTGCAGGCAGGTCCCAGAACTGAGGGCAGGGACCCCAACAGACAAACGCACACACATTCATGGCAGCCTCATGCACCTCAGTTGAAACGTGGAAGTAAGCCGTGTCCACACAGATGGACGGACAGGCCTGAGGAGGTGGTCCATACAAAGGCCTGCTCTTCAGCCTTCAAAGGAAGGACAGACTGACACGTGCCAGATGGCCCACCTTGAAGACACAATGCCCAGGGAAATAAGCCAGTCACACGGGACAAATACCACACGGTTCCACTTCCATGAGGTACCGAGCACAGTCAGAATCTCAGACTGAAGGCAGAATGGCAACTGCCAGGGGCTGGGGACGGAGTCACAGGAAGTTATTGCATAATGGGAACAGAGTTTCAGTTTTGCTAGATGAACAGCATTTTGGAGATGGATGGTGGTGGTGATTGCACAATGTGAATGTACTTACACTGCTGAACTGTACACTTAAAAATGGTTAAGATGGTAAAGTTAAGGCTATCATAATAAAAATTATTTAAATGAAAGGGTACAGGAAATGAAATGATACAGAGGCGGAGGACATGCCACTGTGGTCCTCAGACTGAAGTAAACACAGCCTCCCCTCCAGCACCTCACACGCGTCCCAGGACCAGCCGTCCTGACCTCTAGGAAGAGCAAAGCCCACACTCACCCAGCTGTACCCACACCAACTGACTCCGATGGAGGCGGTGGGTACAGCGGCCGGCGCAAAATGCTGCCCTTGTAACTAACCTATTGAGTGTGGCAGGAACGCGTTTTACTAACAGGTGAGCAGACGTGCCCAGATTACCTTTAGGCAACTCCCACATTCAGAGACACTTTTCATTTTGTTTCAATTATCAATCTAGAAGCGCAGCATCGCTTCCCTAATCCTGACAAAGCCCATTTAGCGGGAACCACCTTTCAAGGAGGAAGCCTAACCAATAACCACAGGTCAGCTCAGGGCAGTGCTGCCAGTGTAACACTGCAGAAGGGGAGGGCACTGCGCAGGCGGGGATGGGCACTGCAGGTGCCCACAGCACTGGGCAACTTCTACAGAGAGGGGCCAGCTGGCGGCGTCAAAGGCCCCAAACCAGAGGTTCTCAACCTGTGGGTCTCGACCCCTTTGGCGGTCGAATGACCCTTTCACAGGGGTCGCCTAAGACCATCCTGCATATCAGATATTGACATTACGATTCATAACAGTAGCAACATTACAGTTATGAAGTAGCAACAAAAATAATTTTATGGTTGGGTCACAACATGAGGAACTGTATTTAAAGGGCCAGAAGGTTGAGAACCACTGCCCCAAGCCAAGAATAAATCAACATCATTAAATGCCTGGATTCCTTAAACAGAGGTCCTCAAACGTAAGGAAGGAAGGGATAGTCTGGCTGACGGGACTGGTGACAGTTGGGCCCCGCCAGCCGGGTATCAGACTGACAGCAACCGCTCGTAGGTGAGTACCGCTGTGGGAGGAAGGGACCTGCTGCTACATGGGGGACACTCCACTTGCTGAGCACTGGCCAGGAAGGTGGGCCTTCTTTGAAGGAGCGAGAAGCTAGACAACCTCAGACAAAAAGTTTGGATTTTAGCAATTATTCCTATTGTGTTTAAATATTATGTAACTGCTAAAGCAAAAGCCAAACTTCCAGAGAGAATGAATTCTCAAGTAGGAAACTAAAATAAGCCAAGCTTTCCTCGTGCTACGGGTGGTAATAAAAACTGCACCTTCACAGACGTCCACCCACAAGGATGGACGTTGTGCAACAAAGGCCTCTTTTTCCAAAGAGCCACGTTCCTTTCTTCTGACGTGCCTGCCACACAAGCCATGAGCACTTCGCAAGCAACTGTGTGGCCACGTGTCCCAGAACCGGGCCCCGGCTGACACTGTGGTTGATGGCGTGGGCAAGGCCAAGACTGGGGGATGGGGCGGCGGTCAGGCCACAGCATGGCGTTCCAAGGCAGCACCCAGAGCACAGAGCTCGGCGTGTGCCCATGAGCAGAGACCCAGGCCTAAAGGGAAGCCAACAGTGCTGAAGGCAGACACGGAAACCACCAAGCCCAGAAACGGCCTGAGACTCAAGTGGAACCTGCTGAGCTTCTGATGGTGACAGCAAAGGTGCAGCATCACATGTCCCCAATGGAGGGGGCCCGGTGTCCTGGTGTGGCCTAGACTGTCCTGCAAATCCCACTCCCAGGAAAACCTGGTCAAATCAGGATGGCTGGGCCCGAGAGATCAGCCTGGGTTCACCCAGAAGAAGTGGCATCCATCCCTGAGAACACCAGACGTGGTCTGGAGCCATGGGACCAACTCAGGCTGCAGTCCACACAACTGCTCCCGCCCACAGCTGCCCTTACAAGTGCTAGAAGTTTGGTGTCTCTCCCTGACAGCACCGCGTGCTGCTGAGGGCTGCCGATGCCAGCGGCTGGCAGTTCTCAGCCACTCAGCTGGGCACTGGCCAAGGGGAGGCAACTAAAAGACAGGGTCTCAGTCCTGGAGCACCTCGCACAAAACTCCCCTAATTGGTCTGGGCACGGAGGTGCTCACTGTCTTTCCAACTTCACACTAACTCAGAACAGAGTTGGCAGAACACAAAAATGGCACTCTGCCAGTCCCGCTAAATAAAACGGGGGAGAAGGCACAGCAGAGCTATGGTTTCAAGGAATTCCAAACATTTTCCTGCGTAACAGACACCCAGAGGGCGAGGAGGAGCGGCCAGCGGGGGGGACGCCCAGCTCACCCCTGGCTTCCGCCTCTGGTTGGGGTAAACCAGGGACAAGCCGGGAAGAGGCTCTCTCTTCACTCTACCTTTTTTGAGTCTGAGGAAATTTAGATGAACAAGAGTTAAAACTTTCAGCTGCGCCAGTACAGGGAAAGAAGTCAACCACTCAAGTCCTCTCAGGCTGCCAGGCCCCAGGAGGGCCGGGCCCCCACACGCGGGCAGCAGGAGCTCAGCTCACCTCAATTTCAGCTGGCGCAGGCTCCTTGCTGAAGCACATGTTCATGATGTTTCTTGCTGTTCGATAAAAGGTTGTTAAAGAAACAGACCTTCCCTGGAAAGAAAACAAAAACAGGTGAGTCTAGCTGAAGCAAAACAGTTGTCTAAGCCCACATGGGGCTGGCCCTACCACGGGCTCTGCTGGCACCGCCCCCTCCACCCTCCCCAGCCTGGGCGGCTGGTGCCCAAGTTAGCAGCACAAGCAGAGAAGGTGGGAAATCATTCTCAAAGCTCAGTGCTGACAAGGGAATGAGGTCACACTGCCTTTGCAGCGCCAGGAGCAAACAGACCTGGCATCTGGAGGCAATGGGCTGTGCACCGGGAGGCTGTGCACCTGGAGGCTGTGAACTAGGAGGTTGTGCACCGGGAGGCTGTGCACCGGGAGGCTGTGCACCTGGAGGCTGTGCACCGGGAGGCTGTGCACCTGGAGGCTGTGCACCGGGAGGCCGTACACCTGGAGGCTGTGCACCGGGAGGCTGTGCACCTGGAGGCTGTGCACCGGGAGGCTGTGCACCGGGAGGCTGTGCACCGGGAGGCTGTGCACTGTGAACCAGGAGGCTGTGCACTGGGAGGCTGTGCACCTGGAGGCTGTGCACCGGGAGGCTGTGCACTGTGAACCAGGAGGCTGTGCACTGGGAGGCTGTGCACCGGGAGGCTGTGCACCGGGAGGCTGTGCACTGTGAACCAGGAGGCTGTGCACTGGGAGGCTGTGCACCGGGAGGCTGTGCACTGTGAACCAGGAGGCTGTGCACTGGGAAGCCACGGGGTCAGCTTTCACTTTTTGGAGAAACCGGTATGGGTGGAAAAGGAGGCAGAATTCCTCAGTTACCCATGTGAGGGAAGGATAAAGGCTGTGGGCCAGTGCAGAAACTAACAGCATTAAGACAACCCAGAAGAGAAGTCTGGGGGATCTTCAGAGACAGAAACTTGGGGCCCCAAGGGTCCTCACCACATGAAAAGCAGCCACACAACCTCACCTCGTGGGTCTGAGGGGGACAGAAGTACCCTGGTGACTCTTGCTGTCCCACTCCCACCTCCTTTAGCACACAGCTCTGTTCTCGTTTGGGAGTCCAGGTAGACCTTATTTTCGACCTATTCTACATTACAGGTTTTGTTACACAGGGACAAGCTTGTAAGATTCATGCCTTTCACTCTTTGGTGACCAGGCACACGTATCCCTTGATTACAGAAATATGTACCAAGCACCTATGGTATATCAGGCCTAGTTCAGCAGCTGTGGTAAAGCAGGCTCGACACCGACACAACCCTGTACTCATGCAGCCTCACCAGGCCTCGCCACAACCCTAAACAAACACGAGCTGCGAGGAGGCCCCAAGCGCCCTGAGGGACAGGGGAGGTGTCCCTGTGAGCACCCCATGGGAAGGAACACCCCACAGCACAGGAAGCCTGCCTGCCATGGACAGGTCAGGGCACCAGGGCAAACCCTTCACACTGGCTGCTCTGACATTTGCTTTTCAGCTTTAGAAATGACTGTGAAGTTCTAACACAAAGGAAATACTCCCTACAGTTCCAAATTTCTGACATTCTGTTCCTTACAAAATAAAAGCCTGCCCTGGCCAGGAGGCTCAGTAGTTTGGAGTGTTGTTCTGTGTACCTAAGGTCTCAGGTTCAATCCCCAGTCGGGGAGAGTATGGGAGGCAACTGATCAATGTTTCTCTCTCACGTCGATGTTTCTCTCCCTCTCCCTTTTTCTCTCTCTCAAACCAATGTTTTTAATGAAAATATATAAATAGATAAGTAAATACAAATAAAAACCTAACGACTAGGAGGGACCTAGTTTTGCCCAGAATTCGAGAGGACACCCAGCACCCAACTGTCAATGGCCCCAACAGTCAGGGGCCTCAAGAACACGGCTGAGCAGCACCAGGGCCACCAGACCGCCCCGCAGCCCAGCTCGTAGGATTTTGCGATGAAATCTAAAAATACACTTTACAAAGCAGGTTTTCAAAAAAACTCTTGCTTTGATCCAACTCACTCTCATAAAAATTGACCTTCTTCAATAAAAAGTAACAGAAGTAGAGAGTATCTTATTTCACATGCTGGCTGTTCAGTCCCGGGTTTAATGAGCGGTTTCCGTGGAGGAGGCTCCTCAGGCACACATCCAGGAAACAGCCAAAGTCCTCCCAAGTTCACAGTCCGTGCCACCTCTCCCTCCCCATGAAACATTCAGAATGTGAAACAGGAGGAGGCCATCAGCAGGCTGCAGGCAGCCATTCCCCACCCCACGGTCTCTGCAAGGCATCTCGGGAGGTAACAGGGGACACCGAACCCGCTCTGCGTCTCACAGTAGAAAACGTTCCAGAAAGCAGCCCAGGGTTAAAGCCCAGCAGGAAAGTACCAAGTGTGGCAGTGGGTGGCCACAGGCGACTTCGCAGCATGGACTCAGAAGGGCAGGCACACCTGCACGAGTCCCAAGCTCCCTATGTGTCTGGGATGGGCCCAGTATCAGAAGTCCACATCGATTTAACCAGGCGGCGATTTTCAACGTACCAAAAATCCCCCCGGCTCATCCGGGTGGGAGCAGGGTTGTCAAGAGAAGGCTGCCAGGACTCACCACAGAACACATTCCTCCTGGTAAACCCAGAACAGGGACCCCCGGGTACAGCCCATGCACCTGTCAAAGCCCAGGCAACACAGCAGAGGCCTCTCTTAGCTCTGCCCCCGGTGCCCCACTCACCCTTGCAGGCAGGGGAGAGGCAGCCCCAAGCCTGGCTTTGGAACCAGCCAGACAGGAGGCTACGGTGGCCGCTGCTGAGCAAAGGCAGGCAGGCTGCCAAGTGGGAGTGCCCGTGACTCTGCCCGCTTCTCAGAGAAGCGTGTCTCCCAGGACGGCTGTTGCAGCAACAAGATCTGGCAGAACTGGGAAACATGGGCACGTGTTTGCCAGCCCTCCCACCTCCTCCCTCGGCAGCTTCAATGGTGAGATGCGAGGAGACAGCTCTCTAAGGGCCTCTCTACAGGTGACTGGCCACATTGAGGTGGGGCAGTGGGCCATGCAGAAAGGAAATAAGGAGGCAAAGAGAAGCAGCACTCCAGGCCTGGCCAGGCAGCTTCTGCCCTCCAGCCTGAGAGCGGGTGCTCGGAGGGGCAGGCGCAGAATTGTGGGTGAGGAGGAATTGCATTTGCATCCTAGGCACTGCATCCACGGCACCTGGGCGCTCACTCAGCTCATTCAATGAAAAAGAAAGCCAAGGCCTGAAGTGGGCAAGCGACTCCGCCCATGCTCACAGTTCCCAGGGGCAGCCAGGGCCTGTGCAAAAGGCCAGATGCCCTGAGGCCTGGGGCCTAAGCAGGCTGCAGACATTTCTCTTTATTAATTTCCCAGAGAAAGTGGCTGGTGGCTTCGGGACCCGCCCACCGCACAGGGCCTACCTTATATATACACTTGTGGAAGTCACTGAGGACGCCTTTGTCCTCTTCCTCTTCTTTCACCACTTCCTTTTCCTGAGCAAAGAGTCGCCGCCGGCCTGTCTTGAGCTGGGCCTGGCCCACCTCCTTGAGCTTGCTGCGAAAGCCGTTCCTGTGGGCCACACCATTGATGAGCCCGTTCTTGGGCTCAAAGCGGGGCAGGGGGTGGAACTTGTTGTAGTCCTGCTCCGTGTGGCCCTCCAGGGGCCCCTTCCGCTTCTCCAGGATCTCCTTCTCCATCAGCACCTCCTTCTCCAGCCGGCGGTGCTCCTCGGGGGACAGGGAGTCGTAGGACAGCAAGTACTGGCAGTAGGCCTCCTGGAGCTTGGCCAGCCGGTCCTGGGCAGTCTTGGGGATGCGCAGCATGTCTGCGAGTTTGTTCCATTTTTTGAGGTCAGTCACTTGCTGCATGCCACCCATCTCGTTAATCAGCCGGAAAAAGCAGGCCAGGTCGAGCTCGCAGCCTCCTAGGACGGCGAGGGAAGAAAACACAGGGACAGTCAGTGAAAAGGACCATGAACAAGACAAGTCCTCCTTCATTCACCTGACAGTCCATGATGCCCATGTGCCGGGACGCAGCGAGACTCTAGGGTCAGACACAAACACTCATCTCTGGCCTCCAGGGAGCTTAGTCTGTGCAGACGGACCTTAAGACAATCTGGCGCACTACAGGGACAAATAAAGCTGACTGAGGGGCTGGGGGCCACCATCTTAGGTGGGACGATAAGGGAAGGCCTCCCGGAGGAGGTAACATTTAGGCAGAGGTCAATGGTAGGGAGCTGGCACTGGTCAGCACCCTTCTAAAGACCCGGAGGCAGCTGTAATGAGATCAGGAGCAGCGGCCATCCCTGGAGGGAAGGGCAGGGCCCAGTTGTGCCACTCAGCCACACCCATGTCCCAGTGTCACCTGGAACAGCTGTGATGTCAGAAATCATACACACAGCATGTGTTCTCCGTCCCAATCTCCCTCCCAACCCCAACACACACACACACACACACACACACACACACACACACACCTGCCCAACACACATATGCCCAACACAATACACAAACCCAAGACACACACCCAACACACACACACACATACCCCACACATGCTCGAGTTGCTTATTTTCAATCCCACAGGATTTCCAGGTTGACAGGCACTATTCAGAAGGGCACCTGACAGTCTGCCTTTCAATTCCTCCCATATGCACTCAGAGGGACCACTAATCTCAGAAGGATGGAGGTGAGTTTCACTACGTCCCTTGATCAAATGACAGAACAGCACAGGGGCCAGAGGTGGGCTGAGCATCCTAGGACACCCAGAGGCGTGCCTGGACCATCCCAGGAACTGCAAATAAGACCAGAGGACAATGTGGGTTTGGTTGTCTGTGAACAACGGAACCACCTCAGGGAGGAGACTTCCCTGGACCTCACCCAGATTCCAGGCCCCACTGTGGTGTCTCAGCGAGGAGACCGTGCCTGGCAGTGCACAGCCCTGACGGGCACAGGTAGAGGGCGAAGCCAGTCACCCCAGCGTGCCACAGCAGCTCCAACCACAGGTATCACTAGAGGGGAGGCCGGCCATACCTTTTCCTTTTTCTCTAAGATCACGATAATATACTAGCACTTAAAATTTACCCAGTTCTCGCAAATCCATTAAAGACTCCACACCTGCCATGATCAGCCCGTTCAGAGGGCCACCAGGTTGCTACCTGGCAAAGCATCTCCCTCACCTAGTCCGAGCTGACCCCACTCCCTGCAGCACTGCAGCTTCCCAAGGGGCTGGGTGCTTATCCGTCTGCATGAATTCTGGGAAACTGCTTCAAAAGGACTAAGTGCCTTGCACTTGGAGACACCTGAGCTCAGACCCACGCCCAAGGCCTCTGTGGGTAGCAGGCCAGGTCAGCACGCCTTCACAGACAGTGATAATGCTTTACACGTGGGGCAAAGAGCAGGCACACTCACCCGAGTGACCGTCTACTAACTGCTGCTGCTATGGGAGGAAGTCACGGTTAAAGAAATCCTACTCGGGCCCGGCCAGCGTGGCTCCGTGGCTGAGCGTCAAACTATGAGCCAGAAGGTCATGGTTCGATTCCTGCTCAGGGCACATGCCCAGATTACAGGCTTGATGCCCAGTAGGGGGTATGCAAGGGGCAGCCAATCAATGATTTTCTCTCCTCATTGATGTTTCTATCCCTCTCTCCCTTCCTCTCTCTGAAATCAATAAAAAGTGTATTAGAAAAATGAACTACTCTGAAAAAAAGGGTGGTTGGCTGGCCTCGTGACATCACATGAGTACTCTACCAGTCCCTAAAAGACCCCCAGCTCAGGGTGGGTAGGAGGACCAGGTGCTGCTCTGAGTCACCCAACAGCCGCGTGCACACAGGGCACAGCCAACACCAAGCTCCTGAGACAACCTCACCTCCTCAGCCCATTCCCACAGCCCTGGGTCACTGTCTATCACAGGGCACCCCTGACAAGGGACCACCACCAACCAAGAATTCTTTCAAATCAATGATTCTCACTCAGGAATTAGCCCTGGCAGGCACTGCTGAGAGGAATAATGAAACCTCATCTCACAAAGGAATGCCATCTTACTGCCAGTTCTTGACACTTAAATAGCTGTTAAATGTCTCCTTTTCTCCCAGCCTTTGAAAAATCAGAATCTCCACAATGGAGGCAGGGATGTGCTTTTCCTTTCAAGGATCTAGAGCTGAAAGGGAAGTGGGTGACCATACCCTGCTGTCCCCATAGGAAACCCCCTCCTCAGAGCCCACTCGTCTGAAAGTGAACTAATCCCGGAGGTGTAGGGTCCAGAGAAGAAGCAGACAGGGGAGCTCGACAACCTGTGAGTGGATGCTGCTGGGGGCCGGGGGCCCTCAATGCGGGACTTGTGCCCACTGGTCAGCGAGCTGAGCTCTGCGACCGTCCTGGGCAGAGCTGTGTGGGCTCTCGGGAGAAGTTTGCACATTCCTGCACCTGTGGGCTCCACGAGGACCAAGTTGGTTGCCATGGAAGCAGAAACTCAAGTCAAAATGAGGAGGATGAAGAGACAAGGACAAGACAGAGAAGAAATTTCGTGGGCTGAGGTCTATGAGAGTTCGTGGATGGAAATGTGTCCCCAAAATATTGATGTGCAGAATCCTAACCCCTGATGCCTCCAAATTTGACCTTATTTGGAGAAGGGTCTTAAAGGCATTTACAGGGGTGAGTAGTGTCTTTATAACAAAGGAAGACACCAGGAGCCCGCACCCTGAAGAACGGTCATGTGAGGACAGAGAAGCACCATCTACAGGCCAAGGGAGAGGCTTTGGGGGACACCACCCTTGCAGGCAGCTTGGTCTTGAACTTTCAGCCCCCAGAGCTGTCAGACGGTAACTCCCCGTTGTTTAAACTCCTGAGGCTGTGGCACTGATTGTGGGCATCCCAGCCAAGCAGATGAATCCAGGGGGGCAGCATCCCATCGCACCCTGAACACTGCTCTGGCCCCTGCAGGCAGTAGGGGACCACCCAGTGGGGAGAGCATGGACCCCGATACCCACAAATGTCCAGGACCTGGAGAAAAGGGGCGGTGGCCTCCCCTGAGCAGCAAATGAGGCGGGAGAAGTGCAACCCCGGTGACAGGGGAGAGAAACTGGCACGTGGGATGAGGCAGTGGGCAGGCAGGGCTTACCTATGAGCGGGAGCTCGTCCATGGTGATGCCCTGAGATCTGAGGTGCTTCTTGATGCAGGCCAGCCGCTGCACGTTGGGGCCCCAGCGCCGGCCCAGCTTGTGGATGTGCTGAATCTGCGTGACGAACCGCATCTCGTCGTTGAGCTTGCACTCGGGCCGCCAGTCCGGAGGGGGGATGACCCTGCACATGCCATACTTCTCCACCTGAGCGCGCACCGACTCGATGTAGACGAGTGGGTCGTGGAACTCCTTGGCTGACGGCCTGAGCACGGGGATCTCGTCCATGGCCGCCCACCCGACCCGGCCGGACCCCTTCTCGGGCTTGGCCGCCGCCTCCTGCGGCTTGTGCAAGGGCTCCGATTGCGAGGTAGAACGATTTTCACAGGAGGCGCCATCCGCCTTGCCATGTGCTTGTCTGCCCAGCGTGCTCCTCCCGGCTGCAGCCCGCTTCGGCCGGTTCCTCTCCAAGCTCCGCTCGGGCACCTCCTTCTTCATGTGTCCATTCAGCAGAGCTTTCTCCGCTGGGGCCTGAGCCGGGGCTGGGGCCTGGGCCGGGGCTGAGGCCGCCGCTGCCTTCCTGCCAGGGGCTTCGGCAGAGCCGGCAGCCCCTTTCATCTTCTTGGGGGGCGACTGCAGCTTCTCCGCCTGGTGTGCCTCTTCCAGTCTCCTCTTGGAATTCCGCAGCCCCTCCCGCAGCTGCCGCCCCCCCACCTCCTTAGTGCATGACTTTGGGTTCAACCGGCCACTGACCTTGAGGCCGTTGACGGCAGGCCCGGTGGACTTGGACACCCCCCCGAGGGATAGCACCTGTTTGCGGGTTTTTGCATTGCTACTTTCAGTTTTCCCTGAGATTGTGTGGTTGACAGCTGAACTGGGCTTGTGGTGATTGGGTTTGGTTTCCTTGACCAGTTCTCTCTTGGCTTTGGTGTATGTGACAGTCCCCTTAGTCACGGTTGCAGTGTACTTCACAGTTTTGGACGGTGAAGGTCTGACTTCGCGCATCTTTTTGGCACTGGTTGCACTTGTACCCAGAGATGACATTCGAGTGACTCCATTTACCTTCGAAACCTGGGAGGCGGCAGGAGAGGCAGAGGACAAAAATAAAACAACAAAAACAGAATTAGTACCTGCCAAGAAGGCAACTCCTCCACACAGAGACACTACACAGGGACAAGGGCTACCTGCAAAGGCAAACAAAACACACTGCCTGGGTGCTATTTCAGACTCTTGGCACAGTCCACACCCATCCTTCCTTTTCCACGTTTGATCCCATGGCTCTTCCAGGAAATCGGATATTTCACCGTAAGCCTTCCCACATGCCCGCCAATCACCTGTCACAGGTTAGGAACATTTCCAATAGGAAGACCCTGCCCATGTGGGGGGAAAAGAGCATGTCCAATGTTGACCCCTGAGTAATGCAGGGGGTTAGAGGCACCAAACCATCCTCTGTAGCTAAAAATCCATGGTAACTTTCGGACTCCCCAAACACCCTGTCATCCTTCAGTCTCTGCAGGGAACTGGTTCCAGGACCCCATGAATAACAAAATTGGTAGGTACTCAAGCCCCTTGTATAAAAGGGCATGGAACAATGCATGCAGTCGGCCCTTCACATCTAGACTCTGGATAGCGGTTTGAAAATACTGTTTTCAATCTGTGGTTGGTAGAATCCAAGGATGTGAAACCCAGGAATATGGAAGGCCAACTGTATGTTTACTGAAAAAAAGTCATATATAGGTGGGCACTCCCAGTTTAAGCCATGCTTTTCCAGTCAACTGTACACAGACACGCAGTACACACACACACACACACACACACACACACACACCTGTTCTAAGAAAAGACATCCTTGCTCTTTGCTCCCCTTAAAGCATGATCTGCCCACAGAATTTATAAATCTATGTGCTATAACAAGAACAAACAAAAAGATTATGGAAAAAAGAACAACAGCCCTCAAGTGGTTCAGCTTCAATGCAGACGTGTGGCTACGGACTGCTGGCACCTGTCCCTCTCCTTGTGTTTGATACGTGCCCCGTGCAGCCCTTGCTGAATGTCAGGGGGTGCACCTAACCTCTTTGGTAAAGCACAACGTGCCCAACCCTCTCTGCAAAGGAGGTTCCTACTTCCCTTCCCTCAAAAACTTGCACATCCGGTTCCACAGGAATGGGGTCACAAGCAGCCCTGCAAGGGCATCTTTCAGCATGTACACCACAGTAATCCCACAACACACAAGCCCACCTCAATACAGAGAGAAGTCAGAGTGACGTGCGTGAACACCGGAAACGCATTAACTTCCAAAGAACGAGGAAGGGCCGGCCCTAGTACAGTGGGGCCTTGACTTACGAGTGTCCCGACTAACGAGTTTTTTGAGATACCAGCTGTCTCTCGGCAGATTTTTTGCATTGAGTTGACAGAGTAATTTAACGATCTCCTTAATGAGCTCCTTAACGAGCTCAGTCCTGGAACGAATTAAACTTGTAAGTCAAGGCCCCACTGTAGCTGCTGCTGGGCTGGCTGGTGTGGGCACTGAGGCACAACTCTGCCTCTCTGTGACCTTGACATGTCATTTAACATCATGGGCATCAACTTCTCATTTGCAACATGAGTTACAGATTCAGGAACTCCAGGGTTCCATAAGAACCATGACCCCCTAAAGAGGCCGACTAAAAATCACACAATTCCTGGGAAACACAGAGCAGAAACAACAGACCTCTTTCCTCACCAAGAACCCAGAGGAGGTGACGGTGGAGGGAGACTGGCTTTCAAGTCAGCTGAGACCTAAGCAGCTGGCTCCTCTCAACACCAGTGCCCCGAGGGCTGTGCAGCTGCCACCAGGATGGCCTGAGGCTCAGGTGACCTCTGCCCTGTGCCCCGGCCACGACCAACAAGAGGCACATTTTGCTTAAGTGGAGAACAAGCATAAAGATCACACTTTCCCATGGGTGTCCACACCAGTGGTTCCCACTGGGCTCCCACCCTGAGTTTCTTATCCGGTAGGTCTGGGACAGGCCGAGAATCTATATTTGTAACAAAGTTCCAGGAAACTGATCTGGGGACATACTTTGAGAATCACTGAATCAAACTATTAGCTAAAAGTTCCAAAGACAGATAAAGGCAAGAAGCCACTGAATGTGCCAGCAATTTGACACAGTAACGGAAAGCCTCAGATGGTGGTATGAGACAGGCTTCCCCCCAGTGGTTAGTAAACGGGTTCCTGGTGAGCCGCCTGGACTTCTGTACTCAGCAAGGGCCCAAGAATTACAGCCCGGGTTCCCCACTGCTTTCCACCTTATAAGAAGCAGCACTGACAGATCGGGTGGGAAAGAGAGGAAAAGAATGGAAAATTAAAAACAAAAACTCGCAACTTGGCCACAATAAATTAAAAACAA